TGTTTTTGTTTTTAAGACTCTTTAGTACTGGGCATGGTGACACACACAGAGTGGCTTGGGAGACTGAGGCCGGAGGATTTCAAAGTTCAACTTAGTAAGTTACTGAGGACTATGTTTAGGTAGCTTAACTTTTAAAATAATAAACATTATAATTATTATCTCTCACATTAATCTTGGCATATCCAATATTATGTGTAAGTGCTAACAGTATGCTATATTTCAAGGCTTATTTTCTGTTTTGGAGATAGTTAAAATCTTCATTTCCTTGGTTGATTTTTGTATTTGTTGATTATTCAAGTAAATATCATTTGTATGAAAAGTATAGTCATTCAAGTTTTTTTTAATCTAAGCCAATTCATGCTAATTTCTACCAAATTTTAAAAATATGGAAATTAAATTTAAAATTATACAAAAATCCTTTAAATGAAAAACATTGATTGGTTTAGCATGACTATATTTTGGACTTAATAAGGAAGCATCTGATTTGGAAAACCTGCCCTACTCCAGAACTCTGGAAATCAAGCTGGCTGATGCTCAGAAGTAAATGTCAAGCTGTGTTCACCCTTCAGCTTTTCAGATTGCAGTTTCCTATTTTAACTTCTGTTTAAAAAGAAACTTTACATTTTTTTCCTCTGAAGTTATGTTAAATTAATATTTGTTATTTAGGCACAAGTTTTTAACAGTGATATTTTAGAATATTATCTGTAGTTTTATAACTTTTGATGTATTCGAGTGACTAAAGAGTCAATTTTGTATATTTGCTGCCTTACATGAATAACAATATTAGGATTTGGGGTTGTTAACATATATCATGTTCTTTTAGATCTGTTCCAATCTTCTAAATAATGAAGGTCATGGTTTAGATTGTTTCTAAGCTGTTGGATCTAGTATTAGAATATTAATAAAATAGATTCAAGTTGTATAGGAAGTATAAAACTATTAGGTTTATAAAATAGAAAAAAGATAAATTCCTCATTGGCAAACTTGATCGCTTTTTTTTACACACTTTTATATATGTTTGTATTTATTGTGTATAAATAATGCAGGAGTCCCTAGTTATTAACACAATAGGTTCAGAAAGCTTTGATGAGTCCAAAATGATCCTTAAGTGAATGCTGATACTTTGATTTGATGGCAGGAAGAGTTGGTGTGATTTTGGTCTGACATGTAGCTTTCTTCACATCTATGAACGTCTGTAAAAAGTTATATTTGTTAAAAGAAACCCTTCTATATGTTTAACATTTTAAAAATAATTTCTTGCATATTTTCTTTGAATTGGGCCTTATGGTTCTACAATATGGGAAAAACCTCCATGAGTATTATGTAAGAGGACACTTTCTTTTCTTCATTTCAGCCATATAAAGTTACAGCAATCCATTGGATTAGAACTTAAAGGTTATCTACATTTTTTGGTATACAGGTAAAATTTGAAAATAATGAACAAACTTAATTCTATATTCTTCAACTTACTGATTTCATACTAAACAATTATTTTATTCATTATGAATGAAATATAGAAAATGCTAGTACAGAAAATGCTAGGGGTCACTAAAATCTCTCTGGATTTTCTCCAGGATTCCTTTTGGGGGCTACTAAAATTATTAGGAATCTAAGATGCCAGATAAGAGTAAATTTAGTTCAGATTGAACGTATTTACTTCTAAATAATTTTCATTTTATGTAATGGGTCAATAGGTACATTCTGAAATATGTTAATTTAATAGCTACTACGTACAGTTTTAGGGGTACTTTTTAAATAATTGGTGCCAGCTGACTAATTTTATTATTCTTTTTTTCCCTGACTGATTTCTCTTGTCCTTAGGTACAGAATAAATTGTGAATAAGAAAGCACATTTAAAAAGCAAACAATAATTTATATTTGAGAAAACTTTAGTATGTTTTATAAATTCAGATCATATTAATAGCTTTCTGTAAGTAGGAAAAGAAAGGCAGTTTGTGAGATGAAAAGTATTCACATAGACATACAAGTAGTTGTTTTTCTCAGCCATCATGAATACTTAACTGGCTTGACCATAAAAATTAAACAATATGTACATAAAATACTCAAACAACCCATAGCTATAGTCAGAGGATCATGATTTTTAGCCCTTTTTTGCTAAAAAAAAATGAATATTTCTGGATGGTATATAAATATACACATACCTCTTATTCTACAAATTCTTCTGCTTTCCTTTTCATTTACTGTATCTGAATTCTGCATGGAAATTGCATTTGAAAATAATTTGCTTAAACCAGGTATAGTGGTGCATGCCTGTAATCCCAGCAGCTTGGGAGGCAGGAGGATCTCGAGTTCAAAGCCAGCCTCAGCAAAAGCAAGGCACTAAGTAACTCAGTGGGACTCTATCTCAAAATAAAATTCAAAATAGGGTTGGGAATGTGGCTCAGTGGTTGAGTGCTCCTGAGTTCAATCCCTGGTACCCAATCCCCCCCAAAATAATAATAATTTGCTTATAGTTCATTAAATCTTAAGATTTTAGCAACAAAATACAAATGCAATGTATTACCTGAATGGAAAAATATAAGATAGTGTGGCTACATAGATAGTTTTTTTAAGTTATATTTTTTAAAGTTTGTAATTTGATATCTGGCTGTTAAATAGTAGAGAAATCTGAATTTAAAGTAGATTTTAAATGGCTATCATAATTATTTATCTCATCTTATCATACAAGTTTATTAATTATGTTTAATGCATCATGATTCTTTATCTGTTTTTATTTTCTCAACCCTACAAACCTTGTAAGAACCAGGAATTTCATTGTGAGGTTTGTAGTAGGAAATGGAATTTTCAGGCCCTWCCCTAGTAGCTGTTCAGTTAAACATTAGGAAATTCAGTAAGTTCATAGCATTTGTGTCTGGTGTATCATTTTTATATTTTATAGCTATAACAAAATATTATTTTGCTTTGTAGCTGAAGTTAAATTATTATGAGAAGCATTATTAACCTGCTCAATGGAGTTATTTTGTTTTAGTGAGATAATACAGTTCTTAATATAGTCCAGACCGGTGTAGGTTCAAATCCTGAGTAAATCTCTAGTACTAGCTTAGTACTACTGGGCTCCTTGTGTAAATTTTGTCTATGTAGTGGAATAATGATACTACTAGTAGGAATGCTGCAGTGAATATTCTTGTTTAAATATTTTTGTTTGTATGAAGATATTGCCATGGTCAGAAAAATCTGGGAGCCAATAAGCATGTGCAGTTTAAAATTTAATGCTTTGCTTTAAAATCACTCCAAAAAGATCATCCCGATTTGCAGTCTCTCTGACTGTATCATAATGCCGTAGATCTCCTATGTGTGAAAAATCCATTCAATTTTTGCTGTTCTTGTGCCAATCTTTAAGTGTTGACCTTCTCTGAATCTCTTTGATGTCTTTATCAAATCTGGTGATATCTTAGACTTTGGAATTATATGCTAGTAACTCAGATATTGTTATTGTTTAGATTTTTCTTTTAAGAGCTATGCATCTTTTTATGTAAGCAGTGTAGTTTTAGTTTGTGCCATTTAAAATGGAAACTTCTTGAGTGTAAGTATATATATATATATATATATATATATATGTATATATATACACATATATATGTATATATTATATATATTTTCAATATCTATCAATTTTAACTAGATTAAAATTTCAGTTAACCAGAATTTTCATGGTTTTGTTGTTAGTTTGACCATGTACTCTGTTTACTTTAATTTCCACATAAACAGAAAACTGTATTGTTTAAATTATATATTGATATATTTTGTCTTTGTAAGTATAAATATACTCTAATAGCACCTTTTAGCTGCCTTGGATTCTAATTCTGAATATTCATTATAGTCTATAGATATAGAAGAGATAAATAGTACAGACTCAATTTATACTAACCTGAAAGAGAAGTTGTATTTTACCTTATTTTCTTGGTAAATTAACTCTCCAAAAAGAAAATATTAGAAATTTCCATTTAAGTTTTATTTGATATTATAATTTCATTTCTATTTAAAATATGCTACTGTTTAATTTATATTTTTAATCTCAAAAGTGAATGAAGGGCCTTGTACATGTAAACCACACGCTTTACCCACTGAACTTATACCTCCAGCCCCAAATCTGCAACTTTTTGGTAAAGCACTGTTTTCAGTCATAGATATCCTTAAGATTTATGAAAACAAGTTGAAGAAGTACATGCCAGTGAAATACAGAATCCTAAAATATGGATGTCGGCATTGCCCTGCCTCTCAACCTATTTTGAAAATTCAACATAATATGTTTGATATCTAAGACCTTTCTATGTTCAGCTATAGATAAATTAAAAGGTTTTCTATGATTCTAAAGAGTAGTAAGGTTTATCAAGTTATTTGGATTTGCAGAGGTTTAGGTAAGGTGATTGGTAGGCATGTTTTGATGGTGTTATTCAGTAGCAGTCATATTTCTTTTAAAATTTATTAAAGATTCTAGTCAGGCGCAGTGGCTCACACCCATAATCTCTGAGATAGAAGGCTCATGAGTTCAAAGCCAACTTCAGCAAAAGTGARGTGCTAAGCAACTCAGTGAGACCCTGTCTCTAAATAAAATACAAAATAGGGCTGGAGATGTGGCTCAGTGGTTGAGTGCTCCTGAATTCAATCTCTGGTACCAAAAAAAAAAAAAAAAAAAACAATATAGATTCTAAATGATGTCATTTTTGACAAGTTTATTTTGGATCCTTGGCTCTTAAGTTTATCAAATTGTTTAGAAGAACATTCTTGAGTATGTTATTTAAGAATGTTCTAAAAATCAGAAGCATGTAAATTACCTTTAATGGGCCCTGTCCTTGTGGGACTCAATAAATGCCAGGTATTGTGTTTATGTTATATACTAATTTAATAAGTAGCACTATGGAATTTGTAGTAAATGTAAAACCTTGTGATATATGCATATTGGACCCTTAGAAGACTTTGATGTTAGGACTCTAATCCTGATTTAGCTTTAACTTCTTTTGCTTTAACTTCTTTTGTAGAATCCTAAAACAAAAGAGCAGATTGAAAATCTTTTACGGAATGGGATGAATAAGGAGTTGCGAGATCGTCTTTGCTGCCGAATGACTTTTGGGACTGCAGGACTTCGTTCTGCTATGGGGGCAGGATTTTGCTATATTAATGACCTTACAGTAATACAATCAACACAGGTAAGTATTATGAATTATACTTTTTCTTACTCTGTCATTCAGCTTTATAAATTAGGTAATGTCTTTCTTTAAAAAAAAAAAAAGCCAGTGAGGAGGAGCCTTTTGTCTGGGAAGGTATTCTCCTGTAAGTAAAGAGTATAGACCAAATTCTGACGTTTGTTCTTGCCTGAGATTTATCTTAGAAGTAATTTTTGTATCTTCAAGATCACAGACTAAGTTTCTGATTAAGAGTTATTTTGGTAGCCATTGTCATTTCTTGCCAGAGTTAACTTTGCATTTGAAACCAAGAAATGGATAAATTGACATGTCCAGATAACATAAACAAGCAAACTTAGAAAGAAGATAATTACTCATTTTGGCATCTGGTATTCATAAAGGTTAACCAGAGTATGGAAAATTTAGTTGAAAATATTCTACTTAAATATGGTTTTCCAAAGCCATTTGAGAGTTCTTTTATAACAAAATATAATTTGTTTTTATTTCTCTCCATTTTTATGAAACTTATTTTAGAAACAAATTGCTTCTCTTCCCAGTAAATTATCCTCACTGTTTGAAGGAACCACACCTTTGAGGCCAGTAATGCATTTAGCATATAGTAAAAATACTTCCAGGCTATAGAATACCTCAGTGGACATTATTCTAGTCAATACTGCCAAACAGGAAATCATCTTTATCCTTGTTCTAAAGCCAATGGCTTATATGCAGGGGATGTTGAAGAAGGGAAGACAGGTTAGCACTGGGTAGGTAGGATATTTGTCACCTTCTCTACCTTCCCCTTCTTCATATCCTTTCTTGTCCTCACCAGAAATGCTAATAGTTCAGTCTTTTTTATGTATATATTGAGTTTCCTCATAAACCAGGCCAAATGGGATCTGGTTCATAAGGCCTAACCCTTTTCATACTTTGCATGTGAGGGAATAAGATAAAATGGATTCTCATAGTAGATAATAATATGAGGGTCTATAAGATTTAGGATAGTGTCATCATTAGAAAGAAATTGGTGAAACTAGCCCATTTGGGCTCTATTAATCTGTCTCCATCACCCAGTCACTCATAGGGAGTAGTTGGAAGAAATAAGTGTACTTGAAAGACCCATGTACTGGAAGTCACTGGGGCTTTATCATAGGTCTTCAATAAACTTTAATAACTTAAATTTTAATTGAATGACAGGCCTTGGACAAGTGATTACATGGAGCTTTAGACTTATTCTGTTTCTTCTTTTTTAAAAGAAATTTTAAGACAGACAAAAATGGTATTTGCATTTCTTTTCAGGGTTGTTATAATGATTAAATTTTCTATCCTTGTGTAGATATGTGTTTGTGTGTAATTCTAAAGAACTATAAGGATATAAGTGTTATTTTTAGAGATGAAATGTTTATTAAAGTTAGCAAATCATTTCTAAGATAAATGGTTTTATTTTATCATTGCTATAGTTGCAATGTGAAATATTTCATTTTTTTGTCAGATTTTTCTAGTCTGACTTCTTTTCCTGTAAAATTTTAAAACCAAAAAATTATAAGTGGTATCAGCCATCTTAAAAAATGTGCCAGTGAAGAACTGTGTGGCTAATTAAAAATATTTGTGTCATAAATAGGTCAGATCTTTTGGTTAGCTTCAATGGCATGATTTAGCAAGGGCCTAAATGGTTAAAATTCTGTTTTCTAGAGCCTTGAAGCAAGAAACGAGTTCTTTTGGCTCTTCAACAATATATTTTAGCCCATTGACTCATAGCTTTCATCTTTTTTCCCCTCCTGTTTTATGGATTTTATGGTTACTAAATTGATATTTGTATCGTATTAAATGTGTCTAAAAATCCACAAAATGTTTGTCAACTCACATTTGTAGATTGAACAATATTGTGTCCACATTAGTAAACATGAGCATAAAGGCAGAAGCCAGTAAGATGCACACCAAACATAAAGAGATTTTAAGTCTTATAATACACAAGCAAGCATTTAGCAGGAACTGATCTTTTGTATTTATTTGCTTCAGGGGATGTACAAATACCTTGAGAGATGTTTCTCAGACTTCAAGCAGAGAGGCTTTGTTGTTGGATATGACACTCGGGGTCAAGTAACTAGCAGCTGTAGCAGCCAGAGGTACAGTGTTAATTTGTTTCAAATATTAAGTTGAAGTGGACTAAAACAAGAATTTTCTTTTTTCCAATAGTAGGATTTCTGAAGCAGGAGACTGTCAAACAGAAGTGTGAACACATGACAATGTTTATTTTAGAGCTGAAAGAGAAATAAAAGTATTTCAAAGATAAGGTTTCATTTTACAGAAAGAAGTAAAATGTTCAAATACTTAAAGGTCACATTGAGAATAATATTGTAGCTTATAAATTAACATTGGTGATGGCACTGGGTAGGAATGATTATGTAGCTTGTATTCTTGCATTAAAATCTTATTTGGTTATTTTTAGAGTTTTTTTCATAATAGATAATTATGATGTGATATTTTCTTTTTAGGGGTATTTATACATTTTGGATTTGTTTTATTTCACTTTCCTCCATTCCTGTTACTTTATTACATTCCTGTTACAGGTTATATTTCTTAGTAAAATACTCAACAAAAGATGATTTGAGAGCAAAAGAAGAATTGTAATGTCAGTTCTGTTAATTGTTAAGTTCCTTTTAGTTTTGAGGGCTTTTTTGTTTTGTTTTGTTTTTGGTTTTTTTGCTTATTTTTTGTTGGTTTTGTTTTTCTTTTTGTGTGGTGCTGGGGAGGAACAAAGCCAGCTTGCAAAGCTTAGCTAAGAAGGCTCTCTATCACTGAGCTATATCCATAGCCCAAAGCTTCTTTAAAAAAAACACAAAAACTTATTTAACATTTTTAAGTTGGAGCATATGCTAAAATAATCAGTGATGATAAAATCTGGTTTATATTAAGATACCATATATTCAGAGTAATTGGAATATGAAACATTTATTTATGTTAAAGTTTGATTTTTAAAAAGTGGTGTAACTAAGCTGGGTGTTGTGGCACAAGCCTATAATCCCAGCAGTTTGGGAAGCTGAGGCAAGAGGATTATGAGTTCAAAGCCAGCCTCAGCAACTTAGTGAGGCCCTAAGCAATTTATCAAGACCATGTTTCCAAATAAAATACAAAAAGGGCTGGGGATGTGGCTTAATGATTAAATGCCCCTAGGTTGGATCCCTGGTACCAATAAAATAAAATAAAAATAATAAAAAGTGGTAAACTAAAGACTAAGTGAGATCTCTCTTATTTTTAGGCTTGCTAAACTCACTGCTGCAGTCTTGTTGGCTAAAGATGTTCCTGTGTACCTTTTTTCAAGATATGTTCCTACACCTTTTGTAGTAAGTATGTTGTGTTAGTGATCATTCAGTTTGCTGCCCTTGAAAATATTTTTTAAATCAACTAGGATTCAAATCTTTGTCATAAATAAGGTTTTGTATTGAGTGATATGAGAAACCAAAGGAAGGAAAACAAATTTTACTCTGAGTTTATTTTCATTTCATCAATCATTTGTTGAACCACAAAGAATTTGATCAAGAATTGAGAAGTCACAGTCATAGTGGGAAATTTCAATACCCTTCTTTCAGAAATTAATTAATCAGGCGGATAGGTGGCTTTGAGCACAATGTTAACAGGTCTGGGGTGTGTGTGTGTGTGTGTGTGTGTGTGTGTCTGTGTGTGTGTAAAAACTCTGCATTCCATGATGGTAGAATGTACATTATTATTTAGCAGAGTCACAAAAGAAGTCTCAACAAATGCCAGAGAACTGCTTATCAGGTACTGTGGCACACACCTGTAATCCCAGTGACTCCAGAGGCTAAGGCAGGAGTATTGCAAGTTTGAGTCCAACCTCAGTGACTTAGTGAAACCCTGTCTCAAAAACAAAAAATAAAAAGGACTGGGGATGTAGCTCAGTGGTAAAGTACCCCTAGGTTCAATCCTCAGTACCCAAAAAAGCAAACAAGCTATATACTTGGACTCCAATACAATAAAATTAGAAGTAAAAAACTCCTCCCAAATTCTCTATGTTTAGAAATTTTAAAACACATTGATAAATAATTCATGGCTAAGGAAGATACCACAATGAAGATGAGAGGTACAGACAGTCCTTTTGAATGGTGCTATAGAATTGTAAAGGCAGCTGTGCAAGCTAAAAGCATGCAAAGTAATCTTAATAATCAATAAACAGCTACAGCTGTTCTATGACCTTTAAAATATCTGGACAAAACATTAAAAACACCAAAGTTTACTCTTGGTTAAAAATATTTAAGGAGGGCTGGGGTCGTGGCTCAGTGGTAAAAGTACTTGCCTAGCATGTGTGAGGCCCTGGGTTCAATTCTCAGCACCACATATAAATAAATAAAATAAAGGTCCATCAACAACTAAAAAAATATTTTAAAAAAATATTTAAGGAAAGGAAAAAATGGTAAAAACAATAGTTAGTATATTATAATTTAAAACAATAGAGATGTTGAGAAGTAAAGTGTTTATTACTTTGTTTTTAAAAAAACTTACCAAGAATATTTAAATATTACTTACTGCCTGTCATTAACTTTAAATATGAGTGAGCATCTTTTGYATGCCTTGGCAAATTATTATATATCTTTGTAAGTTTGGATCAGCTTCAAACATTTTATCCTTTGTTATTTTATGTAGTGAAATATCTCTGAGAGTTCCTTTAATCTATTTTGCCTTAAAAGTGCTTTGCTTATATCACTTCTTCTGAAATGTTTTGCATTCTGTTTAATCACAACCCCATTCCTCATTTCCTCTATATGTTCACCTTCGGATGGTGAGATCCTTTGGTTGCATTTTAAATGTGGCAGCGTAAGCATTCCTGACTGTTTCTTTTATAATTCCATTTATTCAACTCAAATTTCCCTTCTACCATTGTCATTTTTTGTTTCTTTGCAGCACTTTCATCTTCTTTGGCCAATACCCATTTTTAGTTATGTAATTTGGTAAACTGTCATGTGGATTAATCACTGGAAAATAACTGTCATGTAGATTTATCACTGGGAAATAAAGAGGCAACATAGGTACATGCTTTGCTATTTGTGACTAACACTACAGGATTTAAAAGAGTGATGTGGTTGGTCATTGATCATGGTGGAAATAGTGATTTATGGACTGAGGAGTAAGCAACCACATTTGTGCTTAAGTGGTTAATATACCATGATATCTGAATTTGAACCTGTTTTTAGGAGACTGGTACTATTTAACAACAATATGGTAGTAGAAATCTATGTTTATGAACTGTGCAAAGCAAAGATTGCCTGTATTTAAAACTGAGCTATAATGAAAACAATAAATAGCAAAAATTTGGGGCTAGAGCTAAGCCCCATGTAAAGATAAATTTATAGTTTTAATGAGTATATTAGGGAAAAAGATTAGAAAATAATTAGCTAAGCAGTTAACTTAATATGTTTGTGCTAAAACTAAATAAATCCAAATTAAGTAAAAGGTATGAAATAATAAAGGTATGAGAAAAAAATCAAGTAAATAAAAAATAAAGAAGATATCAGCTGCTTAAAAAGCAAAAGTTAGAACTCTGGGGCTGGAGCTGGGGCTCAGTGGCAGAGCGCTTGCCTCTCACATGTGAGGCACTGGGTTTGATCCTCAGCACCACATAAAAATAAGCAAACAATATAAACATATTGTGTCCATCTATAACTAAAAACAAAATTTTTAAAAAAGTTAGATCTCTGAATAGAATTACAGATAAAACCCTGGAAAGGGTGCTCAAGAAACAAAGAAGGCATAAATTTAAAAATTAAAAGGAGAGCATAATAAATAAAATAGGAATTAAGAAAATCACAACATTCTGAACAACATAACACAAATTAATGTGCAAACTTAAATGAATTGGCCAGTTTCCTAGAATAACAATTGATACATTAAAACTGATAAAAAATAGAAACTGGAATAAGCATATAATCATTAAATAAATTTAATTTGTATTTTTAAAATATTCTAAAATTTAAAATATAATGTCCAGATGATTTACCAAAAATTTGAGCAATAGAAAATGTTTCTATAAAATATTGTAGTGATTTGTTAGAAATATAATTAGTGGCTTAAGAATCAAAGTAACTCAGGAGGCCAACTGCAGCAGACTTGCTCAATTCACCTTCCAAATCAGAACAAGACTAAAAAAGCTCAGGCTTGTGTTGTCTATTATGCATAGGTTCCGCCAGTGATGAGGAGCTCATAAGCAGGATCTCTACTCCTTCTGCACAACACGATGCATGCACACAGCATGCCCAGCAGCTGAATTGCTGCAAAGGCCAGTGCTGCCCAGATAACATGCATCATGATTTCTTGTAGCTTCTTCACAACTAGAGCCTCACATCCCTCAGCATAGAGGTCAGAGGGATTGGCCAGGCTGCCATTGCAGCTACTAGCAGTCTCTCTGCAGCAGCTAAGAGGGACACTCTGGTTTTTGGTTTCTTTGAACCAATCTGTATTTTCCCAGTCTGAGTAGTTATGAATTCCACAACAGTGCAACTGTCTCTGTACATAATCAATAGCCCTGCTAGCAGCATC